CTATTTTTTGCCAGATGACCCAGAATTTATGAAAATAGCTATAAATTTTATATGTAAAAATTTTATAAAACTTTTTTTACAAAACCTCACATGACTATTAAAACATATAGAAATTTTTTTTTGAAAGTTTTCAAACTTTGATCTGGCTGAGTTATGAAAACCAATTCATAATTTTTATATAGCCTAAAGACTAATAATGATAAATTTAAAAAATTCGCTATAGTGAATGGCATGATTATTTGAATACTATTCAATATGGCGAATTTTTTAAATTTTACCAGACTCTTCTTACCTTTGTTCTTCATTTTGTTCAAATTGATTGAGCAAATAATGACAATATATACTTTTGTATTTCGATTTGAAGCTTTTGATAATACCAGCATCCATGGGTTGAAGGTGAGTAGTTGTAAGTAGTGGAAGAAAATGTACAGTGATATTCATGAGACAATGTTTGTTTAAAATTTGTCTGGATCGACCAGAATTAGTAGGATTAGATCTCTGGGTTCCTTCTCGTGATCTTCCTTGTATCCTTCTTTATGTCCTTCCTTGCGTCTTTTCTCATATTTTTCCTTGCATCCTTCCTCGTATCCTTCCTTGCACCCTTCCTCGTGACCTTTCCTGAGGTTGTTCCTGAATTTCTTCAGTTTCTTCAGCAGAGCTATCTTCTAATGCAGATTCCTCAGTATTATCTTGGACTTCAGTTGGATTACTTGTTTCTGGGGCCATATGAGAGAATACATTATCAACAAGAAGCAAAACTTGTTTACTTTGAATGCGGAAACCCTCATCAATAAATTTCAACTATTTTTTCCAGATGTCAGTTCTCATCTATGCTTTTTTATTATTGTGATAGGTCACTGGTAGTTGTGATATATTTATCCCATTAAAAGATCGTAGTTTTTTGGAGGTACCAATAACCAGTGGACATAACTTATCGAAGCCTGTTGAGTTAAAGCAAAGCAATATAGTTACCCTAGTTTTGTTCTAAAAAAGGAAAGAAAAAAAAACTTTAAATTCTTTAATAATTTAACCTAATTTTCCTAATTTTTTTTTTTTTTTTTTTTTTTTACTATCTTTTTCTAGTTAAATTTTTTTTTTAGAAAGTGTTTGATTAGAGAGTAATTAGTAAAATAAGCCTGTTTTATCAGCATTGTATATATTTTCTGGGTCGTAGTAGGAGAGAAGCTCTTAAAATTTGATATGTTCTGCAGGTAAGGTTTCCAAGGGTATACTTCCTGCTTCACCATGAATTGTAACTTTTCTTAATCCATTACATCTTTTAAACCTAGAAATCCACTCATTCGAAAATGTAAAAGACTCTTCAGGTATGTCGAATGCTTGTGCAAATTGTTGACCTTTTTCTTTTATTAATAATTTTGATAGAATTAATCCTTCAGTCATAACCTATTCTACTGACATAGTTATGGCGAGTTTTAGCATCAGATACTTCATAGAATGATAGCGAAAAGTTTTTTCAGCTTGTAAATTGTCTTGAATTTGTTAATACTCATTAGTTTTTTTTAGTATTTTTGAAACAGTTAATCTATTAATTTTCAAATCAGGATAGTGTTTAATAAACTCATTAGCAATTTCATGGTATCTATAGGATGAGTTTATTTTAGCAAAATCACAAATTTCTTTTTTTTGTTTGTCACTAATACGACTATGTGTTTTCTTAGGTACAGATTCAGGAGGTATTATACAAGTAATTCTTGGTTCATGCTGGAATTTTAAAAAATAATACTATATGATGTTATTGTGTTTATTAGAAGGCATTTGGATAGTGGTGTTATAGTATTTATTTTAGAATCTATTTATTATATAGATATATAATGACTTTTATTTTAGGAATACAATATAGACTGTTATATGTTATCTTATTGTTGATAAGTATGCATGCATTAGAGGTGCAGACATATTATCTTACACTAAACTTGAATTATACTTTCTAGCCAAGAAATAGCTGTGGTTTGTTTTTAAAGCTTAAATCACTTACAATGGGACCTGATTCTCAGACTTTAATGAGTGTTCAGACCTATACGATTTTAGGGATTTTTCATCATTTGAATAATAAAAGATTTCCAAAATGCATAAGTCTGAATACTACCTTTATCCAATATAGCATTCATTGTTTAGGATCAATATTGTTATGCAATGCTCACCTTTGGAGGTCTGATCCATTAAATAATAATTTTTTGGATATTCAATGAATATCTAATATTCAAATTAGAGTACCAGACTTAAACTATCTCAGAGATTTTTCATTGTTTGAACAATGATAAATCTCTGAAATTATATAAGTCTAGGCATTCTAATTCAGATACATAATAATTCACAAATCGGATATCTGATTAAATTCAATGAATATTTAGATCTAACTATATCTTACTAACAAGTTAGTGCCTATAATATAATTTCTGAAGCAGAGCAGAGGAACTTAAATCCAGAAAATAGGCAAGAAAAAAAATTTCAGGTAGGTTTCAGAAGTAGAATAAAGCATATATAAGCAAAAAATTTCCAAATAACCACTATCATTTGATTGATCACAACTATATTAGTATGTAACTTTTATTTACATCACTTAGTAGCATATAATATAATGTTCTTTTTTACTAACATGCAGTATTATATTATGTAAATCAAAACTTCATAAATTTTAAATTACAGCCTTAATGATTTAGAATAAAATTTTACAGGACTAATATCTTGATTCTACAAAAAAAGTTACAAAGCTATTATAATTTTTTCATATTTAAATATAAAAAAATAACTTCGTAACTTTATACAGCAATAATATTTCAATCTATTTATTTAGATTCGAACTAAGCGTGAAGGTTTTGAAACTCATGCTTCCGTCTTGGCTGTATATCTATTTTCATGAAGAATCTAAAGATACATAAAATATCTATTATATTATAATTTTAAATAATATATGTACCCAATGATCTTTTGTAGCATTGTTTCTCCTACATCATACTTAATGATTGGAAACAGATAGCTTACAATATACGTACCAGTAGGATTCTTAATATCATATCTTTTTTCCCAAGTTGTAAAAGCAGAAACGATACTAATAAATTTAATATATTACTGTATATAATGATGAAGTACTATGTAGTGATAAGGTATATGATACCTATCATGAATAAATAAAATTAGGAACATAAAAATTTATAAATTTGAATATATAGTTTATTTTAAATAAATTTATTTAAATTAATATATTTTTATATTTACTATAAAATAATGCAAATAAAATAAAAATTAAATAGTAAATAAATATACTGTAAATAAATTACTACTGTATTTTAATTATATTTATAGAATTAATAAATATTTTTATATAATATTTTGTTTTATTAATATACTTTATTTATTATATTATTTTTGCTAAAACCTCTATATAGTCACTTTCTTTTTTATATATATAATTGTGACTATATGGAGGGTATCTCTATATTAATCACACCTCTATATAATCACAACTTTTTGTATCCCGAATGTGTGACTATATAGGGGAATGACTATATTATTAATAAAAGTCCTGAAATAGCCACCACTAGTAGTAAACATAAAAGAACTAGCCAAAATCATAGGTCTTTAAAGAAGGCTACTTTATACATCATAATTCTCAAAAACATAATAATTATTGTTTCATAATATTATTTATTAGTTTGTAAACTAGTTAATATCTTTATCATATAATTTTTTAGCTAATTATGCAAAATGTATATACTATAATTGTGTTCTAAAATATGATAATAAGATAGGTACTAGCTCTTTAATTTGTCATTTAAAAAAACAAAATGTAAGAAATATTTAAATAATAGATTATCACAAACATTGCAGTTATTAGTATTAGGTCTTATTGCTTATAAGTTTTCTTAAGAAAAAAGCTATTAAGACATAACTGAAATAATTATTAAATATGTATATTCATTTCACATAATTAAACATAAAGAATTTTTAAAGTTTATTAATAATTTATAACTAAAATATAAGGTAGTATATGAAAAAACAGTACATGATGATTGTATTGATGTTTTTGAAAAACTTAAGGTGAAGGCTCGTATAATGATAGAAGAGATATCTAGATATCTAATTTATACAACTAACTTGTAGATGTTAAACCAAACTCTCAGATATATAGTCATTATCTGTTACTTTATAGATAAAAGTTAGAAGCTTCAAAAATTAGTTATATTCTTCAAATTAGTTTTTATACTATATACAAGAGTTGCTATTAGTGAAACTCTTAAAAATATTTTAATAATTAGAATATTATATCAAGAACTTTAGCAATTACTATAAACAATGTATTTAGTAACAATACTGCAATTATCAATTTGAAACATAAGCTTAATGAGCAGAATATACTTATTGCTAAAGGAAGTTTACTATACCAACAATATTGTACTCATATATTAAATCTTATTGTTAATGATAGTCTCAAAATAGTTAAAAATATTGTTAGCAAAATCAGAGAATGTGCAAAGTAGATTCATAGTTCATAGTCTCAGTTACAAAATTTTGAAGATGCAATTGCTAAGTGCTGCCCTGAACTTGTAATAAGTTAGAGACTAGCACTTGATATATCTACTCATTAGAATTCTGTTTATACTATATTAATATTGACTATTCTTATATTTAATATTAATATAGCTAAAAATAGAGTTATAGTAGATTTTCTAAAGAAGTAGAGAGAATGTTTTATTCTGTTCAATATATGACTATAGAGAGATAGAATTTAAAAGTTCATGAGTAGTAATTACTTTGGCTTTCCTGTTATAGTATAAAGATTTAATTAAGTTTAAAGCATTTTAGAGAATACTAATTCTTTTGCAAATATCAATAAGATAATTAATATTGATTTTATCAAAGGCTTTGAATATATCTTAGAATAGGATTTATATCTCTTTATTATTATTTTTATAATATTTAATAGTATTTAATAGGATTTGAATTAGTATATATATTAAGTAGTTTTTAGTTATTGCAAAATTTAAATTATATAAGAGATAATATTAAGTTATAATTTGATTAAAGCATATAGTAAAGACTTTGATTAAATATTTTTTGATTAGTTCAATAAGAGAGATTAAGCAAACTTGGTCTAAGGTAAAATCTCATAATGAGTTTTTTGAAATAAGAAAGATATTAGAAGTTTTTTATTCTAATAGATACTTAGTAGAATAAAGCATTTTGAAAGAAAGAAGTAAATAATATTTTGATTTTTGAAGTTGAGTATTTTGATATATTCATAATTAGTTTTAGATAGGCTTATAGCTTTATTGTTTAGAATATCTTTTATAATTTTTGACTATTTGTCAGATTTGATTTCTAAGAAGAGGTTTTAAAAGAGATATTTATTTTCTAGATATAGTTTGTAGAGATTATAGAAAAGTGAGTTAATATTAATAGAAGTATATAGAAGTTTTTGGAAATATTCTTAAAAGTAATTATTGAGAGTTGATTTAATTTTAGTTAGTTGTATAATTAAATTATTGTTTGTAAAAAAGTGATCTAAGTTAATACTATTATTTAGTTTTTCAAGAGTTTTGTAAAAGAAAAGTTTAAAGTTTTGTATAAAGTCATTATCTTTTTCATATAGTTTGTTTTGGATTTCAAGTAGAGTTTAGTCTTTTTTCTCTTTTTGAATAAGAGTTTTTAGATTTTTAATTTTACTTTTAAGTAGTATTAGGATTGTATTTGAGTTTGGATTTGCTTCTAAGAAGTTTTGATATAATAATAGAAGAAGAGTATTGTTTGAATATTTTTTTATATATAAGTTGTATAGCTGTAAAATATCTGTAGATATTGTGAAGTTTTTTATAAAAATAATATTTTTGAGTTAGTTGTAAAGAGGTGATAAATTGGGTTTAGAGAAGTCTTAAAGATCTAAATTAGATTTGATTTTTTTGTATAGAATATATTTTAAGGTAGCTTTGCTAATTATTTTTTTAATTTGGTTCTATATATTGTTTAGATTATTGGTATCAGTAATAGGAGTTAGTAGATAAATAAGATTTTGTTCAGTATAGTATTAATATTTTTCAATTTGGTTAGTTTGAGCTAAGTTCTATTTAAAGAAAATCCTTGTATAGTTTTTTTTATTAGTAGGTTGATTGATTAAAAATATTGTTTCTAAGCTAATAATTGAGTAGTCAGAGATAGTAAAGAGTTAGAAAGAATATTAGCATAATCAAGGAGAGTAATATAAATATTAGTTTATATTTAATCAATACAGCTAGTACTATTATTATATATATATATGTATTTTAGAAAAAAAGGATAGAATAGACAAAAGGTATCATAGAAATTATAATATTTGAGGATTTTGAGTAGTTGATTTTCTGGTGAATTATATTTTTTTGATAGTAGTTTGTTGATTTTAGGATTTGAAGTACTATTTAGATTACCTATTATTATGATTTTAGAATTTATTGCATTTAGAATTAAAGTAATATATATAAGTATTTCTTTATATTTTTTCTGAGTTAGAAAGTAAATTTAAATAAGTTTGATATAGTTATTTTTAAAATAAAGATTTATTTAAATAAAGAAGTTTTTGAAGATTTGAATTTTTTCTATATATTTTACTAGTTAATTATGTATTATAATTTCTATGCTACTTTACTTATAATTATAGGGAGTTCAAAATTTTTAGTAGTTAGTAAAGTTTTTGTAAAGTGTTGAGAATTTTGATTTTTTAAGATTGAGATGAGTTTCAGAAATACTGAATATATTAATTTGGTTTTTTGTAATGTAATCAATTAAGCTTAGTTGTTTGTAATCTTTAAGTAAACTGCTCTAAAGCAGAATTTTGTATAGAATAATTTTTTTTTTTTTTAATTAAAGGCAGCTTACTTTGCTAAGCAGATTTTATTAGTTTAATATATGAGGTCATCTGTTAACAATCCCCTACAGTTTGTAATTACATAAAGAGTGTATAACCTGCTATACATACAACTTTAGTTATTGTCTAATTTAAGTAGTCCGCCATACAGGTAGATCATCTGTTTGGTTCTATACAAGCTGCCATATCTGTAACCTGCTTGTGAGTTACCTATTTAAACACTCTGTTCACCTAACTAATACTGGAATCAACTAACATCACTGTAACACCTAACCGCTTAAGCTAGCTAGCTCATTGCAGATCTATTTACCTAACTTAGCTTAGGTCCTCTCAGGATACGTATTGCTCAACATATTGTGGTACGCAGAGCTCCAGTTAACCTCGTAAGCAATCCTACTAGAGCAGTCTGTGCCTATTTCATGAATTCACCTAGCTTAGATTCTTGCAGATGTTTGTACAACTCAGTTCCTATTGTGGCTCTCCACCAGTTTTCTGTGTCTATCTTCTTAGATGTTTCACAAGGCAGATCCTCCAAATCCAGTTAGCTGCTAAGCCAAGTTGGTGTTACCGATCCTCCCTGTGAAACAGATTTATGTGCACCCGACTCAATTGGCATCTTTTGATGATAGTTTCCTTTCTGAATCAAGCGTTAGCTAGTGTGACTGTTGAAAGTCGTACTACTTCACTAACTCAGAATTTCTACCATACAGGTCCCTGCTCATAGATCCTATCAAGATTTATTCGTATAACTTTATGTTCTCCGAACATTCCGTCACACTTCTAATATCTGAATGATATTGGTATAATATGATTTACAGGGTTACAACCCCAGAAATGAACAGAGTTTACCGTAAGTTGGATATAAAGGTCTGGGTAATTATTCAAATTTGTCGACAGTAGGATTTGAACCCCAAACCTCTTGCATGGCGGTCTGGTAACCTAACTACTATACTAAGATCGCCAGACCTGTGTAGAACAATTTTTCTTAATAGCCCAAAGGTATTTATTTAATAAAATATTTAGATATAAATAAATATTTTTAAGAAGTTTTAGTACAAGTAATTTAGAAAAGATTTAATAATTTGTATGTGCCTTTCTGTTAGCATTTTTAAACAATTCAGATCATTTTCTAGTATTGTAAACTAAAGGATAAATTACTTTTTTCTTGTCTTTTCTTAACTTTTCATGACTACATGCAAAACTTCTACTATCATAGACAGTACTTGCTTTGTATTTATTATTCTTATTTGCACTTTCTTGATATTTATTTATATATCTATTATCATACTTAATATGATTATCTTTTTTAGTTTCAAGTCTTGTATATTTGGTTATATAAGAATCTTTAGTAATTAAATTAGTTACAGATTTGCTCTTTTCTTTACTTAAATCTAAACTTTTCATTTTAGCTACTTTGAATAAATCTTCACTAACACTCTGATATATGTTTAAAAGTCTTAAATGAACTAATCTGTATAATGCTGGTATACTTTCTGAAACAAAAACTCTTTTCTTTGTTGCAGAACTAATATTAATATAAGAAATATCAATAGCATATATATATAAATCCTTTTCAATAATCTTTATTTGCCCTATAACAAAAAGTACTAATTCATTCAAATGAGTAGAATTCATTAAATGCTTAAATCAAGTATTGTAATATAAAAATACTATTTTAATTATAAAATTATAATTTTGTCTAGTATAATTATTTACTAATATATTAATTAATGCATTTTTATTATTAATTGATTTTAGTTAATCTTGAACAACACTAACAAGCAAAACTTTTAATAAATACTTATTTGAACTAAGATCTTTTTTAATTGCAAGATTAGTTGATACTACAACAGTTATTTAAATATAAAAAATTTAACAAATATTTGAAGTTTATATCATATACAACTAATATACAAACTTTTAATTTTAAGTTTCTATTATAATTCCTAAACATAATGTTTTTACTAGCACAATAATACTCATTTATTTTAAAAATTAATTGTATATTAGGATCTCTCTTTTTATCATTTGTAGAAATAAACAAAGTCATATCTAACTTATGATCTTTATTCTTAATAAGATAAATATTAACTGCCTATATAATAATCAGTTTTGAATCCTCATTATAAGTTTGATGAACCTAACTTACTTTTATAATTATATTAGTATAACAAGGCATTATATACTATCTTTATATTTACATACTAAAAAATAACTATTTATATTTATTTAAATATAGTAATAACAAATTATATCATATGAAATTTAAAATAAAACAAAATATATTAAGATAAAATTAAAAATCCAAATATTAATTATACAAATATTATATAATTCCTCAACAATTACTCATATACAATAACTTTCTTTTATAAACAATATTAAAAATATTTGAATTAAATTATCTCACTCATAATATATATATTTATTAGTTATATATATATATATCAATCTAACAATAAATAAGATAATAATAATATTAGCTTTTAAAAATTTATATATAGAATATATTAATAAATATAGTAGTATTTTACAACTCTTTCTGACAATTATCAAAACCAAAACAACAAGACAACAAAAAATTTTTTTCTTGTACTACTACCTAGTAAAACTACTTAAAGTGACTGACTATGCAAGGAATAAACTACGAGGCTGTAATAAGCTAGTAGCAAGAACTGCAACAAGTCAGTTTCAAGGTTATACTAGGCCCTTTGGTTATTTGACTTTGGCAGGGTAACTTTAAGTTAGTTTAGTAGAAAGGTATCAACAGTAAAAAGAAGAAGTATAAAAAGGACTCCAACTATACTTATACTAGGTCAAGTATATAACCACTCTCTTAGTTTTGTTTTTTTAAAGAACCTCTTTCTTTATTTACAACAACTAGACTTTTGGACTTGGAATTGTTTCTCTTTGTTTCTCGATAGCAAAAAGTGGGGATTTGGCTTACTCCTGTCAAAAGATCTAAATTCATACTATGTCTATTTTAGGAAAGTTACATTGTATACTACTAAACAACAACAACTCGCAAATATGTGTAGCTATGTACTACAAGTTAATATTTGTTAATATCTTCGTTAGATAATTACATGAAGTCATGCTCTGTTAGACAAGTAAGAAATAGACTTGATAGAATTAGTTAACATTACAGAGATATATATATAAAAAGCAACAGTATATATAATTTTTAATAGTAGTGCTTGCCTTTGAGCTTGCTTTTAGATAGAACTACTTTGGGTTTTTCTTTTCTTTTTTTCTTTTTACGTTAAAAAGAAAATTTCTGTTTATTTTATTTTTCTTTTTATTTGTTTTTGCCTACACTTAGATAGCAAGCTTTTTACTTGTTAGCAAGTTTTTCTTGCT